AAACGAGTATAGAGTATAAGAGTGCTTGATGATGATGAAGAGGCTTGGCTACAGTTATTTTCAGGTGTAAGAAGGCTTGGTTTGAGTAGTCAAATTTGGTTCTAGCCATTTCCAAAGCTGCACAAAGGTTGAGGCAAGTTTGGTTCACTATTTTACATTTGCAGAGTGCTTGTATGTGACCATCTTATATATGCATTTACATTTGATGTCTTAGACCTATGGTTTAGCTTATTTTACTGGTTTAGCTTGTTGATTTGAACTTATAATCACTATATCTTGTTGTGAATTGCACTATTATAATTTGAGCAAGATTCAATAGTTGAATAAAGGTTGTTGAAGTTGAGGTTTGCACAGAAATATGGTTAATACAGTTTTTGACCTTGTGAAACCCTAGCTTTGAAGTTTCTGCAGAATTAAGCTTTTATCATTTTTGTGATTGTATATACATGCTATACTCATCATGATTATCATTTGAGTATGTTTGTATTGAAGATATAAGGTTGTGGAATTCATCTATTGGTCTTTGTTCAATCAAATTTCTAATTTTGCCCTCAGACTAGTATTTCCGCAGAATGAAGACTGTGTTGTGTATAGCTACTTTAAGTTGTATATTCATTCCTTTCACTTGTAAAAGCTAAAGTAGAGGTGCTATTCACTTTTTTATTTCTTTTTTATTTTTTTATTTTTTTTTATTATGTATTTGGTAAGCTATGAGAGCTTGTAGGGCCCAAGCAGGGTTGTTTAGGACAAGGGGGAGTGTTGTGTGCACCAAGTAGAGCTAGTGTGTGTATAGAAACTGTGAAAACTAGTGTATTATCTTGTACAAGGGTGTGTGCAGAGAGTGAGACAGCTGAGTGTATAACTACTTGCATACAACTAGTGGAGATTACATTGGCTGTGGCCAAGAACCAAGGTTTTTGATCTCTAGTTAAGAGAAATTTTCTTGTAAAATCCAGGTGTACTTATGGTTAAATGATTGAGTATTGTATGTGTATTCAAAGCACTCCAAGTGTTGGAAGAAGTTAAGTTAAAGAACCAATTCACCCCCTTCTTGGTTAATCAATTAGTATCAGAGTTTTTATGATACCCCCTAATTTCGGAGACACGGGTTGATTAAGTTTACACCCAAAACCAGGGGATATCAAACATTTAGTAATAAATGACACAGAATACAAATGGAATAAATAATATCTCTGAAAAGGAAAACTAAATAATTAATTAGATAATCCTCTTATTCCAACACAGAATAAATCCAATAAATTCCCAACATAAATAATCCTCCATAGTACAACTCGGGAATCCGTATTATATATGGACCCCTAAAAGAAATATCTCATAACTGAAATAATAAAGATAAATGTCTAAATCATGGCTAATAAAACATGAAGTAGAATCATACATTGACGACACTAGAAGAGTAGTCTCTGCTCTGCATGAACAACCTCTAAGCCTACTACTGACGAGGACCTAAAAAATATAACAAATGTGGGTCAAAACCCACGGACAAGTCTTTTCTAAAACAACCCAAATAGAGACCCGATGAATGATACATCCCTAACTAACTCATGCAATGCCTATATAGTCGATATATATACACACACACACACACACATACGAAAGACTCTTACTGGACTAAGGGCAGACTCAACTAGATAATGAGTATCTCATAAAAATCGCACAAAAGGTGACACGAATCCTCCTTCTACCAGGGCACACACATCCCTATAGCCAACTACCCATCTCAACCGGTAATATATGCCTCAATCCTAACCACTAATCCCGAGACCTCAAGCTCATATCATGGTACACCTAATAAAAAAATACTTATCAATATCTTAACAATGGCACAACACGTATAAATACAGTAACCATATCCTGACAATGGCACGACCACATATAAAATATTATAGCCATATCCTAACAATGGCATAATAAACAATATAGCCATATCCTGACAATGACATAAATAAAAGGCATCCAACTTATTAGTTGATAAGCGCCGAATATTGCATATTCAAGCGCCCTTACTTGCATTAGTTAAGTCCATTTTTGGTTTATATGTATATATTTTCTCCAGTTTTTTGTTTCTGTGCATTTTTCAGGTTTGTCTGCAAAAAGGGAATAAAATGGAAGCTCAGAAGGCTTGTTGAAAAGCAAATCAATCCGGGCTTTTGCATCCGGAGATTTCCAAGAAGAATCCGCTAAAATAGGTCCATGAAGCCCTTCTATAATGAAAAAAGAGCAAAAGATTCTCAATAGGCCAATGCTAAATCCAATTAGAAGATGTCCATAGCAAAAGAAGTAGAAAATGTATTCTGATGCATTTTCGAGCGCTCGAAGCCTCACCTTCGAGCGCTCGAAATTAAGGCAGAATCATTTTGACCATCTTCGAGCACTCAAAGCCTCTCCTTCGAGCGCTCGAAGGAACATGCAGTCCCACTTGTACCTTGATTCCCTCAACTTCGGATTTTCCTCTTTTATGAGTTGGTTGGAGATGTTTTTGGGGGGAGTTGAGCCTCATTTTGAGGGGGTTTGGTAGACATCATGTCTACAAAAGAAAGGGAAAACCATGAATTAAAGGAGATATATCATTTTGCAAGATTTTTGAGAGAGAGAGGAGAAGAAGATAGAGTTTTGTGTGGCTACAAAGGGGAGCTCAAAAATGGGAGTTGGAGGCAAGCTTCTTCCTTCTTCTAGGGTATCTATGGGTAACTAACTCTTCCTCTAGGGAGGTGATGAAGCCCTCCCTTGTAAGCATGTTCTAGCTTAGTTCTATTTTGGGGATTACAATGTGTAATCTATGGTCTTTTTATGATCAAGAGCATTTCATTTGTTGTAATGGATGTTGATATATATGATTGATTTTTCTAAGTTGACTATCTTGTTCTAGATAATGTTTTACATTAATCATATTGCTTATGTTTTCATGGTGACAATGAAAATAAGGTTATGAAATGGTTTAATGGCATGTTGGTAGATATCTTTGATAGGCCATTGCTTAGGTAATCCCTTTGATGGTTTATGCTTAATCTCTAGCTTCATGTGTTTCATCATTTTATCAAGGGCTTGATAATCTTTCATTTAAGTAAGTGTGTTTAAGCTGCACTCTAGTTTACGTAGTCTAAACATATTCACCTTTGATGGATTATTCTTGTTTGTCATTCAATGTACTCTTGTTAAGTATATGGCAACCATGTGTTGCTATATAATTCTTGACCATAATATATTGTTTTTTTTTTCCCTAAATTAGTTCTAATCTAGCATGTGTATAGGAATGGAGGCAGATTCACTTCCCTAGTTTTCTTTACTCGTAATTTATCTCTTTAATTCTCGCAAGCTTTTATTTTATGAACTTCACATTCTTAGTTTTAGTAACAATCCAACAAATCTTCTATAAACCCTCTTATCATTCTAAAATGATTCTAGATACCTTAGTTGCCATAGATTAGCAGTCCCAGTGGTTCGACTTACCCGACCAATAGCCCTATTTTATAATGATTTGTGCTATTGCAAATGGGTTGATTTATAATTGATAATCGATCCGTCGATCATTATTCGGTCCACCTATATCAATACAATACTAAAAGCATATCCTAACAATGACCCCAATAGAGATAAATCACATATTAGATCATACAAAATAGCCATGAATATGATTAAAATCACATTATCGAATATTGCAATTATCATAAGAATTTAACATTATTAAATCACAGGAATAACTTATAAGTTATAAAAGTCCTTTTCATCAATCATAACAACCATAAATGCAGCCATGAGCCATCCCGATAATTTACAATTCCAGCAAATAAGATGATTAAAATAATATTCCATACTAAGCATTTAACTTCCAATGTTTAAACAACTTAAAGAGTTCATTTTACAACTTAATAATTGAATAAATCCCATATTAATATGCATGTTTAAACTTCATACTATTTAATCCACATATCACTGTTCCAGAGTCTTAATAATAGGTTCGGGACCTTAATAAATCAGTTCGGAGTTAAACGTAACACTTTCGACCCAAAATCACGCATTAGTGCTCAAGCATCAATTGGGACATATATGCTTGCTTTAGGACCTGAAAGGATGGATTTCCAGACTTATAACACACTTCCCAAGTTATTTCCATGAAATAGCGCTCGAGGACTATTTATAGGGCTTGAGTGCCATTTTCTAGGAAACGGCGCTCAAGCACTGTTTGGACAACGCTCGAGCCAAGTGATGGGGTGGTCGAGCGCTGATACATGATTTTGGTCCAAAAGTGTTTTGATTGGCCCCGAACTGATTTATTAAGATCTCGAACATATTATTAAGACTCAAGAACAGTGATATATGGATTAAATAACATAAAGTTTAAACATACATGTTAATACAAATTTATTTAATTATTAAGTTGTAAATTGAACACTTTGAATTATTTAACTATTGGAAGTTAAATGCTTAGCATGGATTATGATTTTAATCATCTTAGTTTGAATTGTAAATTATCATAATGGCTCATGGTTGGGTTTATGGTTGTCATGATTGATGAAAAGGATTTTAACAACTTATAAGTTATTCATGTGATTTAATAATGTTAAATTGTTGTATAATTGTAATATTTGATAATGTGATTTTAATCATATTAATGGTTGTTTTGTATGATCTAATATGTGATCTATCTCTATTGTTATGTAAGACCATTGTCAGGATTCGAACTAGTTATCGGGTCGGGTTTTCAATTTCATCGTTAATGCACCGGATCATGAAATTTGGGGCTACAATGTGTATCAGGTGAATTTAATATAATGTTAGTATATTAAATTGAATATAACTCCAACATTTGCTACTATTGTAGTCATTGCATTTCTAGTCTAATTTCAGTCTTGAAAACCTACATGAAAAAAGATTGTAATAAATTCAATCCTATATAGAATGTCAATGTTCTAACGTAAAATTGATTATGCAAAAATCGACAATGATATGATGCTTAACTGTGTGTGTGTCAACTTGATTCAAGTGTAGCACTTGCTTGTTGAATAACTAGTGGACAACTGATCACTAGGACAAGGAGAAGAATCCCATAGCAAATTCGACTTCCATGCATCGGAGAGACTCGAAGGCAAATTGATGGGGAATCCAACAGATCTGATGTTTCCCCAATTGTCATGATAATGCATCGCATTCGGATCCTTCACTGAAGCTATCTCTTCTCCATGAACAGCATTCGCTTCCATTTCATGCGGTAGAGTGATCGAAACGCTATTGTACTGCTCTTGCAACCCACCAAAGTCCACACACTCTGAAGCTTTACCAAAATCCCCAAATACAGAAGATGACATGTTAAGCAGCATGGAAGATGCATCAACTGAGTACTTAGTAGGTTCAAACTTTTCAAGGGGCGAAAATGTGTATGTTGTGGGAAGGTGTGCATTTGAAATGGAGACTTGATCAGAGGGTTTAGTGGCTATTTGGTTAAAAATGGGTTTGTAAGAGGGAAAATCTAAAGTAGAGAAACTAGTAATAGATGATTGTTGTTGTAACTCATTGTTATAACCAAATTGAATGGATGGACTTGGTTTTGTTGCCAATGACATGTTCTCTGAACTGAACTGAGTAGTGTTAGAACCTTGAGTGAGTATATGATCAGATGTGGTTGTTTCAGGTATTGGAGACACCCAAGAATGAGAGATTGCTCTTTGTGCAGTAGAGTTAGTTTTCTTAAAGATCCTGCAGATTGCCCATGAGTCCTGCAAGTCCAAAACAGCAATGGCTTAATACTATTTATGTACAACAACAACAACCAAACCTTTTTCCTAATGACTTCCATTCTGCTCTATTTAAGAGCTTTAGCCTCAGTCAATCCGCATGCTATCATATCCAGCTTAATATAATGAGAAGATAAGGGTTTACTCTTGCATGTGTAAATATTAAAATGAACTTACATTGGCAGGAATGTTCTTGTCCATGAATCTCTTTTGAGGCGTCGAGTCAGTGAGAGAAGGTAACCGGAACTCATGCATCATCCAATCAGTTTTGATGCCTTTGGCAGCTCTACCTTTGTAGAAAACAAGAGACTTCTTCAAGCCTATACACTTGGATCCTTCCGAGGAGTAGATTGGCCGGTCAGTCCCCGTGGCTTTCCAAAATCCAGCTCCAGTTACACGGTTAGGACGTGCACTGTTTCTGTACTTCCGGTCCCTTGGACAGTAGAAATACCACTCTTTCTCACCAGTAGTTGCCAACTCTGCTTGCAAAAATAAGGAGAAATTAAGTTTAACTTGTAAAGTTTTATCTTTTGGGAAAAGAGTGACCAAGGCATAAGTGGTGTTGAAAATGGTTTGCTTAGAATATGACAATTTTTAAAACTGTCCCTAAAGCTTTTGCTGAAAAACTTTTTGGAAGAGAAGTCATTTAACTTCTTGTGTATACAGCATGTAAAGCATGCATGGATCAATTATCTTTTGTAGTTTTATCCAAACGAGGCTAGCGGAGTCCTGAAAGTATCAGGATTACACAGCTTTATCTTCGCATGGGGAGACTGAGATACTATATATATATATGATTGAAATTACAAAGATCTATAAATACATGTGTATGTGTGAAAGGGGTTATATATAGGAGAACTACTAATATTGCTAAACTATTTTATATAATGGAAAACTTTATGCATAATATATTATATCACAAACTAAGAAGTGATCATAACATAGAACAAGGATTTTTGTCTTACTTGGAAGATCCCATGGATCATACTTGTAGATGTCTATTTGCTTGATAAGTTCAATAGGGAGAGGTCTTTGCTGAATCTTCCTCTTCAGATAAAACCCAACTAGTTCTTCATCTGTTGGATGAAACCTAAACCCTGGCAGCATCACTTCGTCCATTTTATCGGCATCGTGAGTACTTCTCTCATCCATAACTTTTCTTTCCCTTTTCTATGAACTGTCAACCTTCTCTACAAGAGATCCTAAAAATGGACAAGAATTTAACCAAACTCTCCACAGATACCCTAAAGCTAACAACAGAACTTCTCCTATAGAAAAAGACCTTTTCAGAAACTAAACCAAACTATTGAACGAAAATCTTAATAATTACTACTTTTCTAACAGAAGAACAACTAACTTTTTATCTCTGAAGCAACCTTGAAAAAAGCATGAACGAAAAAGGGAAGAGCTCAAATTAAGAGACCAAAGTTGAGAGTGAAGTTCACTTGATTTGAAGCCATTATATGCTTCCTGAGAAGGGGTCTGCCTCCGAAGGATAAGCCGTCTTTTCTGGTGACTTTAAAGGAGCTTGTTTTTGCGTAGGATTGTGTTTAACTCTCACAGTAATCAGAAGCTAGCTCATGCCAAGCTCTTAAGTTAAGAACAACTACCAAGAAACCCTAAGTCAATTAAGAAACCCTAAGTCAAAACAATGAATTTCTAGTAAAGACCCTTATTTTCATACTTGTGCCTCCATTAACACATTTGGGGGGTTTGTTTAATCCAAATTGAAGAATCTCAAGAAGCTACCAAATCAGCAGTGCATGGGGATCATGATTTTTATACAAGTCTTTACTGTTCTCATATTAATGTCTTGTATAAGTTTATCTCTATCTCATTACATGTAAAGACAAAGCAAACTTCCGAGTATGTAATTTTTTAATTAACCTTTGGTTTGAATTATTATGTGGAAATGTGGACCAAGACCAACTTCCAATACAAAAGCTCAAAATTATATTCATTTGTCAAATTCCTATGAGACTATATAGTAAAAAATTATTTTTGGAGATTTTAGTTTCTCAGGATCCGAAAATCCCATTTCTATTCCATTCCCCCAGAGCTTCTATTCCACTGACCTGTCAGGTTGAATACTAATATTTTGTGTCAAATGGACTTAGTAGAGATGCCCTAAGACGAACGTGTGGGGGTGATATTTTAGTCTTTTAGCCATACAAGGCAGTTGACCCTATTGGGTCCACAATCTCGCTTTCAAGTTGACTTTATTGGTTCCGACTAGTGGGTAGAGAACAAACGTGCTCCACCTCCATTAAAGGACAATTTTGCCCTTGACATTATAGGGTGTAACATTTGTTTTTTTCTTTTGGGTAAAGTATACACACACTTTCTAAAATTTGGTAAAAAAATATTCAGAAGAAATTTATTTATTAAAAATCCCTTAAATGTTCAAAAATGACAAAGACAACTCTTTACATGAGAAATTGACTAATTACAATTTAATAAATTGGACCAATCTATTCTCTTTAACAATTTATATGCTAGATTGGCCCAAACCACCTTCTTCCCCCACTCTCTTAGAGTTCACTATCCCGCCGCAGTGCCACCACCACCACCACCACCACCACCATCTTCCCCTCTCTCTCTCTCTCTCTCTATATATATATATATACCCTCTCTCCACATATATATATATATATATATACAAACGACATTCACTATGCCGCCGCCACCACCACCACCACTACCACCCATCTTCCCTACACCACCACCACCCATTTTCCCTCCACCACCGCCGATCTAAAACTACCGATGGTGTACGAAGATGAGAATCGCGAATCAGAGGCAAAATCCCACTGCGAGAGCTCCATGGGCCGAAAACAAGATTGCCTTCCCTACACGCGCCACCGTGGAGCTCTTTGCAACAAGGCTAAACCACGGTACCAAGTCCAAACCCCATTTCATTCAACCCGGGTCCTGCCGCAGACGGGAACGTTCTGGGGTCCCACCACGAGTCCAGTACTGGCGACACGACTTACAGAAATGGCGGGGCTGAGAGAGATTGTAGTTGTTGTAGTAACAGAACTTGGTATATGCGTGAAGTTCTGCAATGGCGTCAAGATCGATCTCTTGCCATCCAACGTCGCGCCTCTCCGCTGTGCCGGAGAGGTTCTGGAGATGACCGAAGAGTACCCTGAGGACAATCTCATCTTGCGAACCGAGAGGTTTCTCTCTCAATCACCTCCATACACAAATTTCCCCCAATATATTTCAGATATATACCTTATATATATATATATATATATATATATGTATATATGTATTGTGTATGTATTAGGGTTCAAGAACAGAATACAGAGCGGTGGTTGTGGATTTGTGTATTTTCGTTGGGTTTGGGTGTGGCACGAGTAGGTGGTACTGTTTTTTATAACTTTTTTTTATGCATAAATTGTTCATGAGGGTAGATTGGTCCAATTTATTAAATTGTAAAGTTAAAAAAGCCTCCTAAACAGTCAAAGAGTAATTTGGTCAATTTAACATGTAAAGAGATGTCTTTGTTTATTTTTGAACCTTCAAGGAGTATCATTGTCCAAAAAATAAATAAGTCTCTTTTAGTATCCTTTTGTCAAACCTCATGGAATGTGACTTTACTTTACTCTTTTCTTTTTTATTTAATTTGAGCAACCAAAATCCCCACCTTGATGGCCATTAGTCACAAGCCTACTAGCAACACTATGAGTGAATTCAATTGAAACCTTCATTCACACTTTCTGTTCAGGTTATACTTGTGTTTAAGTAACATACTCAACTTATTCTTATAGTGTACTTTAGTTTTTTTCCTTTACTTTAGTAAAGGCTCATCGGTTTTTTTTTTATTAGAACTCGTTTTTATGAAATATGGGAGGTCATAATCACTCTCTAAAGTTTAGAGTTATTTAATTTAACCCTCATCAAATTTTGTGAAAACCATTCACTTTTCACACTAGCTCTGTCTTTAAAACACATTTATGCACATCGTGTCCTTTCATAAGTGCCACCAACCTCTTCCCCAAATAATATGATTGACAAATATTTTCATCATTAAATGTAAAAAAATTCATATTGTTCCATGGTAGCATTAATTTTACGATTGAAGGTATGAACTCACATGAGAACTAAGAAGATAGTTTTCCTTGTATTTGCATTTTTTTGGTTTTTTGTTTTTTTTGTTTTTTTTAACCTATTGTCTAGTGAAGTTTCTGAGTTGCATTAAAATCATGAGTACTCTTATATTCTTTATTTCAATTTAACAACCTCATGCTACCTCACACGCTTCAGAAGTTTACTGTCTATCTAAGAATAAACCGAACATATAATTAATTAGGAATTATACAATTTTGCTTTTTGGTGAAAGTAAAAGTAAGAATCATTGCCCACTTCGGATATGATCCAACAATTTACTAGCTGAACTTTGGAACTTAGTAAGTTCAAGGTCTGGGATTCGACTCCCGTTGGGTATTTTTTGTGGCTAGCCTCCACTGCCCCTGCAATGACTTACCCAGTCCGGGTGGGAAGTCGCCCTTCCGAATCCTCGGGGATTAGTCGGGTTGTTAACGAACCCTAAGGGTTCGTGCCATCCCGAATACCTCGAGTTAATAAAATAATAATAATAATTATTATAAAAAAAAAAAAAAAAAGGTAAGAATCACTTCTGTTAATGAACCGCCCATAGTAAATTGTTTTGGCTCCAATAATTAATTATCAATTAATGCTAATTTTAGATAACCATTATTTTATGAACAGAACATTTCTGTCACAGGTCCTGATTCAGCATTCCAAGTTGTGATTACTGACTACCAAATGCAAGAAATTTCCACAAATAAGGCCTCGCAAAAAGAGTTAGAAAAATGAGTGTAGCTTTGTTCATTTAAGAGAAGGCATAAGTCAAATTACCTTTGATTTTGTGACCCTTTTGGAAAACAAGGTTATGGGTTTCTTCAATTTCTTGCTTTCTGTAAAGCAATTATACAAGCTAATTAAGGTTATCATAGTGGAGTACAATTTAAAAATCTTCCAAAACGCTCAAATTTTCAACACACACACACACACATATATATATATATTTTTTTCCTTGATAAACTTTCTTGTACTTTAGTTTGCTAACCATGTCTACTTGGTGGATAGCAATTCGAGTACCAACCATTAAATGAGGAAAATTGATCACCGAGTCAAATGCCAAACTTGGGGACTCCAAGTATAGTGAAACTCCCTAAATCATAGCCCTCGTTCGGAATCATTCTTGTCTGTTCCTTGACCTAGGTTTTGCTTCCCAAACGTGCAACCAAAGTTAAAAAATGGGTCAAACTATTGAAACCCAAGCATCCGTACCTCTTTCTATGTGAACATTAACCCCCTTTACATCAATTATGTACAGCCCCAACTTAGAAAAGTCCACATTAAATGAGTTTAATGGAAAGATACTAATCCCCCTCTGAAGTGATTTCACCACCTTGTTTATCCTGTTGTGTCATCCTTCTCTTCATTTAGCAGTGGTTTAATTTTAGTGTTTTTGTTTTTGTCAGGTACTGTAGCAATGGACTACAGTTTTTTTTTTTTTTTTTTTTAGAAAAAAAAAAAAAAAAATCTGTTTGGTTTTGCACAATACCAAAGCGTTTCGTAAATATTAGCCAAAAATTGAAACATCAGGCTAGATTCCACCCTCGTTTTCAATGCAACTCATCGTGTCAAAAGTAATTATTGGATTGAGATCTCTTTTACTTCCAATGGAATGTTCGGCTTCTCTATTCAATGATATACGTTTGGACGGATAACCATTTATAGGAAGGGGAACAACCCATTTTGCCGTATAAATTCGACCCTATAACATTATTCAATTTGAATACTACTTTAAAAATAATAATAACTAGTGTCATTTAAATTGATAAAATTTAAGAAATTCTTAATTTGTAATTATAACTTAAAACTTCAACATTTAAAATTTAGTTATTAAAATTTTCAGTTTAATCAAAATAGCATCTTAGTCCTCATTTAACTATAATGATTAGTAATCATATGATTCTTCAAAGTTAACTAATCTTTGATGATATATTTGCATCCAATATTTAATCACATTAAGAGGATGAAACAATGATGATGCATGAATAAGCTATTGAGTACTCTGTCAGAACAAATTGCTGAGTCTAATGGAAACCATCTAA